GGTTTTGTTTTATAATCTTAACCACAACCTGACAAGAAGAAGCAAGAACCTAACTGGGGTTGCTGGGTTTTGTAGATGACAGTTTATGCACTATTGGTTTTGCTGCCAGTTTTTGGACAAGTTTACCCACTTTCTACAAAATTTGCTTTAGTAGTTCAGTTTCTGAATCAGGTGTCAACCAAAAGATGGCTTGAAAAGAAAAATAATGCTTTACTTGTTGCTTTTCATTCTGAGTTGATTTGCTTTGGTAGACAGTTTTTGCATTTTGTGAACACCAGTATGAAAGCTATTTTATTTTTTAAGGTGTAGTGAACTTGCAACCTGTTTCAAGCTTTTGCCAAACATACTGAGAGGTGACATGCAAAGAGTTCGGTGACTGTAGGAAGAGTTGGAATAAAAATAGGTACAGGTTTTCCCCTTCCACCTAAACATTCCTACTGTATGATTTGGAAGGGTGTTTTCAAGTCTGGGGAAAGTAAAGGTGGGGTCAAATGAATAAAAACATGTTTCCATGCATTACCACTTAACATTTTGCATAGCACTTTTTAAAATTAATTAGTGCATACAGAATTGGGGTACAGGCTAGAGTTGTAGAGGGTGAGAGGATTCACCAGAGACAGTGGGGACCAGAACAGGCAGATAATACTCAAATACACTGCTGAGAGGAGCAGCAGGTGAGACAGAGGTCTGCTGCGCCCTGTGGGTCAGCTCTCTGGCCAGGATCGAACTTGTGCTAAAGTCATTGTGTGGCGAGCTGCACAGTGCTGCATTTTAACCTGTTGCTCCACCAGGGAGGGTCCTGCTCTCTTCTCTTGATGGTGAATCTGATTTTTAAGATCTTTTGCAAAATGAATAGGCTGACGATTTCCCAAGTAATCAAGTCCAGGTCCCATTCTAATAGCTCCTCCCTTGATTATCTCTCTGCTCTTCCATTTTACTATGAGCATCAAGACCCAGGAAATCCCCTTAGGTAAATACCCAAGTTGATTGTATATAGGCTGTGCTGCTTTAGGACACAGTTCAGCTAGGTTCCCACCACTGTGGGAAGATACCCTTCTAGTTTTCAATAACATTCCTCAGTTTCGTTGGAACCCTCCCCAACAGTGCTATTAGCATCTCTTAGCAGTCTGCGTATGATTATTCTCTAGAGTTTCTATTGTGCTCTTCCAAGAGTCCTCACTGGCAGAGTTAACACCTATATATCTAACAATGTACAAACCATTCTAGATGTTTTTCTGTCACTCTAGTGACCTGTCTATTCCCAATTCCAAAATCATGTCTACACTTTGTTACAGACAGCACTCCTGGTTAGCAAAGCCTGTTTCATACTGCTACTGTAACAAATTATAAACCTAACGTCTTAAAACTACAAATTTTCTATACTTCTGAATGTCAGAAAAGTTCAAAGTGGGTCTTAAAAGAACTGGGAGTATCCAGTAGGCTACTTGTGAAGCTCTTTGCCTTTTCCAGCTTCTAGAGGCACTCTGCACTCGGGTCCATGTCATCACACCACATCACACTGTTTCCATGGTTGTATCTCTGACTCCTGCTCTTGGGTTCCCTCAGTAGGATCAGATAAACTAGAATAGTCTTCCACCATGATCCTTAATTCAGTTACACTTGCAGTCTCTTGCCACGTAAGGTAACATTCAGGTTTCAGGAATTGAGATGACATCTTGGGAGGCCTTTTCATTTAGTGAACAATACTGAAATTCCTTGGGTTGATACTTAGGGGTGTGTGTGCATTCATGCAGGTGTGCCAAAAATACTGCCTCCGTTGCTGCTTGAGCCAGACACCTGGAAAAGGACCTTTTCATAGATTTTTTCATCCAATTTAATGCACAAATTACCATCTAGCTCATAAAATGGACCCGTATTAGGACTTTTCACCTGTGTTGACTGGGTGTATGATTCAGTGTTGTCCCAAATTAGGATATTTGCGATGTTTTCTTTGTTTGTCAAAGCAAAGTATAGGCCAAATTCACCCTGCTGGCCAGAAGTTTCCAACAACTGTTTAAAAACTCATGCTGCCATAGATCACAGTGGTAAGTATATACATATGTAGATATAATTGATGCTGGAATGTGAGTATACTACAAGATGTACAAATTTACAGGGTCGCTAAGAAAAATAAGTTGGGACAATTGACAGAAAAAGAGGGGCACAGTGCATCATTATCACCAAATCTTACATGCCAGATAGTTGCTTAGACAGGGCTGGAGTGGCATTGAAAGACAAGCTAGCGTTCCAGTAGGAAAAGGCTTGTAAATCTTAAATCTGCTCTTTGGAAGGCTAACAGAACTATTGCAAAGTCTTGTAGCCCCCGAGCCCGGTCCAGCTGATTGTACATCATGGGTTTGACTTTAGTGCATGGGGTTTTTATTTCAAATTTATTGAAAACTAGATTTGTTTTGAACATTTCACCTGCAGTGTCTCTTAAAACAACTCTTATGGCAGTGTCCCAGTTTGATGATGAAAAATGAGAACAGTCAATACTATTAGGCCCTTTCACAGCAGAGAAAAAACAGATTGTTATCAAAGTCCACTAAGCTAATAATTGGTGGAATCTGGTTATCAATCCAGGCTGTCTGTAGTCTCGGTGAGTAGGCGTAAACAGGCAGCTGGTGGAGGTGGAAGGGCACTCCAGGGAGAAGCACCAGTAGGACAAAGGACTAGTGTGAGCAGAGAAGGGAAGGTCATTCAGCAAAAAAGTGGCAAAATAAATGATAGAATCTGGAAGCTCTCAGTTGCAAGATTGCAGGTTAATCTCTTAATGGTTTCCATACTAAAGGGAATTTTTTCAAAATTTTATTATTGTGTAAATAATTGCATTGTGAGTCAGAGGGTTCACTAGAGACTAGGGAGCAGAACGGGAGGATTTACTGAAACTGCTGAGGGGAGCAGCAGGCAAGACAGGAGCCTTCTGCTTTGCCTATAACAGCCAGCTCCCTGGCTGAGGATCGAACTCAGGCCTTCATGGGGACAGCCCTTGAGACTTAATCCTTTCGGCCACCACGGAGGCCCCCTAAAGGTAATTTGGTGGTTCAAGTAACTGAAGAATAAGTGGGCTTGAGGCAAGACTTCATTCAACGTCTTAATGGTGTCACCAAATACTAAGCATTACCTGTCCTTGAAGTTCCAAAGTGGCTGACATGCTTGTATTGTTGGGGGTCTTTGGGGGTCTTAACTCTATCCTGGCATTCAGTAGGATGTGTTCTGTCCAGCACTGCAGGCCACTCTGAAACCCACCAATGTGCCTAGAGAGGAGTGCAGCTTAACTTACATCACCCCTTCCAAACTTAAAAGCTGAGCATGCAGTTACCTTCCTCAAAAGCAGAATGGAATTCTGATAAGCAGATAGGAAGGATAATCAGCATAGGTAATGCTGCTTGAAATCTGTTGTATGTGATTTCTCCATCTGCAAGTCATAGATTTTATGGCTCAAGTTACAGGACTGAGTTTCATTTGCATGAGGAATCCCGCTTGTGTGGTGGTACCAGGTATTACAAAGGAAAGGTACCTTGCAGTTTTAATAAAAGAACCCCAAGTGCAGCAGCTTCAAGAAGACAATTTCTGATTCCATAGAGCTGAGAGGGACGCTCATATGCTCACAATGTTCATAGCCCTGAGTTCAAGTTGGCTGTTCCCGTGTCACCTCTTAGCAAAGAAGGGAAAACAGGAAGGGGAAGGAATGTCCATACTTTTCATGGGCACCACCTACGTGGCAAATATTCCTCTGTCTCACAAATCAGATCTACCTCCAGCGGTGGGAAAATGGGAGTCTCTGGTAGGGTGACCGTATGCCCACCTACATCTTTAAGGAGAGAGTGGCTGTCTTGTTTCTGTTCAGGTTGGTGTCTTACATTCCCGTTAGTTGTTTGATCCTACAACTGCTCTCCTGCCTGGCTTGCGCCCTCTGGCCGCAGTTAGAGGACCCAACATGTAATAGATTTAAATCACCATGGCTGAAGCACCATGGAAATATTCAGGGGTTCTGGCTGAATTGCTAACAGGATTGCACCCAACTGACACGACTGCTGACACCACGTGGGAGTAGCTGTCAGCATCATACCTACTAGGGACCACCCCCCAAACACAGGTCTAGTGACCCCAGTACTGGGCCTATCACATTGATTGACAGCATTTGTCTGGGCCATGACACCTATAACCTTTCCAACCAACTTCTCCAACTAAGTGGCCTTTTCTCCCCTAGACCTTAAATTTGTTAACTATAAATGAGGGTGAACCCAAAAAGTGGTGCAACTTTGACACCTCACTATTTCAAGGGGAGCTCAATGTCAGTGATGTCTTCTGAGTTCAAGGTTCTTGGGTTCACGCGGGGAAAGGTTTCACCAGAGCGGCACACCGCGAGATTCATGAGATAGACTCATATTTAAAGAGGAAGTTTATTAGAAAGAGACGGGAGAGGGGAAAACAGGTGCAAGCGGGAAGAGCTGCCCGGAGAGGGACAGGTTTGCAGGGAAAGCGACCTACATGGTTGCAGGCAGGCAGGTGGCTGCTGCCTTGCAGAGGGAGTGGGTGGAAAGAAGCACGTGCGGTAGTTCTCTTGTCCGACTGCCCAGTCGATTTTAAGGACTCAGTTTATTAAGAGGGATGCGTACGAGTAACTTACAAAAGGACAAGTTGGCTGTCACAGGAGAACCAAAAAGGGAGCCGATGGGACGGACGATCACCACACTCGCTCGCACGCAGCCTTAGACACGCGGTCTGCGCACCTTCTCCCGCAGGACCACCTGTTAACCGGGGAAACTTCGCCCTCGCCGGACCACTAGTATCGCGAGAGCACAGCCGGCACCCGGGCTGAGCTGGGAGGGAGTCACTTCCTCCACGCAAGCGCAGTTTTGCCAACGTCTTCAGTTTTCGTTCGCGCGCGCTGGAGCGACCTCCGGTCACTACCGGAAGACGGCTTACGGGAGCTCGCGTGTATTTCCTGCTCTTCCCTCCTAGCCAGTCAGACTTCATTTCCGGTCCTTTCTTACAGTCTTCCGATAGGAAAGTCGGTCAGTGAGAATCCTCAGTTCCTGTCCGGGTCAGCCTCGCTTGAGGCCGCGAAGTTTGTTTGTGGGCAGCGGCCGCGAGGCCGGAGGGCAGAGCCCTCACTCGCACCATGGTGAGTGGGGTAGGGGTGGTGAGGGAGGGGGCGAGCAGGAACTTTGTGAGGGTTCTGGGTCCCTTCCAGGGCGCTCGTGGTGTAGGGGCTCAGCTTGGCATCACTGCGGACTTGGGGTGCCTTTCCTGTAGCTCGAGGCTTCTCTTCCTGACTCGCTTTAGCTGTCAGAACCTGGAGGAGAAAACTGGAACCTCGAAAACCGCGTTGCCATCTAGGGCAGTGTTTTAGATCTCGATGAAGCACAGGACCCAGGAGCAAGGGCTGTCAAGGCTTTCCTGACAAACACCAAAACCCCAGAATACACGTTCCCTGCCTGACACAGCTTCAGGGGTTATTGACTTGACGCTGCTGTGTCGATGCTTAATAAAACACACGTTGTAAAAGTCAGTCTTGAGACCTTTCTTTCCCATATACCCCTGGCAGGAAGCAGTTCTGATGGTGGACGGAGAGTGCCAGGGTTTGTTTAAACCAGAGTAGCAGCCAGGCTGGAGAGAAAGGGTCACGGAAGATCTGGGATGGAGAACACGGGTAAATTTTGAGTGATGAATTGGAGTTAGTCATTGCCAAGACGTTGGAGAGAGTGGAGGAGTAAAGGTTTTATGTACAGGGAGCAGCATGTGTAAAGACATGGGATTTGGGCGTCTTTGGATTTTTCGTTGTTGCTATTGCTCATATGCTAGTTCTAGCGTTTTGCTTGTAACTATCCTTGTAAAACTTTGTACTAAAAATGTAAATTAAAAATAAAAGTACTGTAAACATGGGCATTTTTCTTCCCTTCTCTTTCCTTTTAGGCCCGAAATGCAGAAAAAGCCATGTAAGTATCAACTCAGCTTTGGTCTATTTTGTATAACTTAATTTCTGCCGTGGAGCTCGTTTTGTGTCTGGGCCTTTTGAGAAGTAGCCACATATTTGCCCATATTTGTTTCCCCTGTTAGTGTTTCTGACAGCTCCCAGAACTTATATCGGATGAATGTTTACCTGGGGCTGGTGCAGGAGCTGTGAAAGTGACAGCTAAGTGACAGTTGGTGTCTGTGTATATCGCTCATCACATTGGCCTGATTAGTTCCTGGAGTCCTTACCTGCGGTGTAAATAAAATAGATAGCTGGGTGTTCAGGTACACAAAATGACCTTATAATGTTCTTTGGAACATAAAAACCCTTAGCTTCTCTAGTTTCTTCAACACACACACACACACACACACACACACGACTTAATTGTGCTCATGAGCAAATTTGCCCCATTCAGGAACTTAGATAACAAATGTGTGCGCAGGGCCTCCCATATGGCATAGGGGTTAAGTCTTAGCACTATGGCATTAGCACGTCTGTGCCCTGAGTTCAGTCCCTAGCAGGGAGGTGACCCACAGTGCGCAGCAGCAGACCTCTTTTGTTTTCCTGCTGCTCCCCTCAGGTGTGCGTTTCAGTAGATCTGGCTGTTCTGCTCCCCAGTCTGTCTCTGGTGAATCTCTCACACGCTGTACCTCTGGCCTGTGTCCCAGTTCTTTTATGCATGAGTAAACACAGTATTTTTAAAAAAGAAAGAGATCTAAACAGTCTAACGGAATCTTCTTTTCCTGGTAGGACGGCCTTAGCAAGATTTCGTCAAGCTCAACTTGAAGAAGGAAAAGTGAAGGTTGGTGATGTAACTCTGCCTTATGAATTATAAAGGGGGTAAAACTCCCAGGACTGACTTCAAATTCTGTATCTTCCCGTTTTTGCCCAGACTTGCTGAAGACCTTTGAAAGCATATACACTCTTTTATTTTTTGGTATTTTTCTTGTGTTCCAGATGTATCTTCTTGTAGCCAGGGCAGTGTGATGATCTCAGTGTGATGCTTCTCTATGTATGATGTTTGGGTGCCCTTTTTATCCTAGCTCTATCTAATACTGAATAATGGGAAACTCAGCCATATTAGGGCTAGATATACCATTTTGCATATGTATTTATGCAAAACATGCATTTTAATGATACACACATTTGCATACACACATATGTATGCCATGTGTATTTGTTCTAAATCCTGATAGCCATCATTTCTTAAGGTTGTATATATGCCACAAAGTGGTATGAGCTAGTTTACTTAGACATTTTTTTATTTTATGTTTCAGTTATTTCTGTTGGCTCATTGTACCAGATACAATGTGGCAGATGTTTTTTGCCAGTGTCATTGCTTCTTGAGGAGAGATGGCAGAAGAGGATTAAGGCTTGGTGAAGATCATTTGGAACTGAAACTCCGAATATATTTAGACCACTAGACATTTTTGGCTTCAGGCTGAAAGTCAGTTTGTGAATGTTGCATAAGGCTTGTAAGTTGTACAGTAGCAACATGCATATTTTCCTTCTACTCAGGAACGAAGACCTTTCCTCGCTTCAGAGTGTACTGAGCTGCCCAAAGCTGAGAAATGGAGACGGCAGGTACATTCTGTGGGAATTTGATCTTAATAGAAGTAACAAGTTTCTGATTGCTTCTTATTATCTAAATGGCTTGTAAAGTAGAATTCTAATTATTTTTAATTACTAATTTTGATTTGTATCTTGCCTGTTCTTTCAGACATATTCAAAAGTGATGAAAATATATTACTTTTTCCCCACAGATCATTGGCGAGATCTCCAAAAAAGTGGCTCAAATCCAGAATGGTAAGCTAGTCTGTCTTGTATTTATTATTTATTATTATTTTTTAAGGTTTATTTTATTTATGTAGGCATACAAGAGCTGAAGTACAGGCCAAGAAGTGTAGAGGGGTGCTGTGATGAGAGGATTCACCACAGACAAAGTGGGAAGTAAACAGGCAGATGAACTAAAACATACTGCTGAGGGGAACAGCAGGTGAGACAGGAGAGGTCTGCTGCTCCATGTCGCTCACCTCCCCGGCTGGATATAGAACTGTGCTTCAGTGGCTGCCTATAGCTTTGTGGTACTGAGACTTAACCTCTTGCACCATCAGGGAGTCCTAGCCTGTCTTTGAAATGCTTAATTCTCAAATCCACAGTTAGACTTGAGGACTCAGCACTCCTCTCTCAGTAATCAATGGAACAAAAGGACTGAAATCAGGACACAGAAGATAGAAAATTTTAAATAATTGAAATCTTGCAAAGTATTTCTCTGACTATAACATAATTGACAGAATCATCCACAGAAAGGTACCTGAACATTTCCTAAATATTTGCAATTAGCAACATGCTTCTTTTTTTCTTCTTTTGTTGTAACTATCAAAAATTCTGTCCAATGACCAAATTTGACAGAGAAGTGTGTGCAAAATTGTCCCTGGTTAAGAACCAGTTCTCTTAAGTGAACTTTGGAAGTTTGTATGCCTCAAGGAGTGGTCTGTTTCATCTGAGTTGTGGGCATAAAATTATTTGAATTATCCCATTATTATCATTTCAGTGTGTATAAAGTCTATAGTAATGTTCCCATTTTTATTCCTGGTGTTTGTCATTTATGTGTTCTTTTTATCTTGGTCACTGTGACTAGGTTTTAGGCCTCAGGGGCTCAAGTGCAGTAGATGGAGAAACTTTGATTGTTATAACTGGGATAGAGGCCAGAGAGCTAATAAGCTTCCTACAGTATATCCTACAAAGAATTATCTGACCCAAAATAGAGAATTTTCCAGGCCCAACTGACTTCATTGTCAGTTCTGCCAAAATTTTAAGGAAAAAATAATACCCAGTCTACAGTTTCTTTCAGAAAATGAATGAGGCAGGAACATCTCCTAATTCATTTTATAAATTTTTGTATCAGCACAACCCTGATATTAAAATCAGGAAACAATATGCTAAAAAGAAACAGATACTATAGGTCAATTCTCTATGAATATGGACATAAAAATTGTCAAAATCTTAGCAAATCAAATCTAGTAATCTATAAAAAAGATAACTATATCACAACCAAGTGGGACTTGATCTGGAAATACATGGCTGACTCACATATTCAAGAATTAATTTACTGTGTCACTGTTCTATGAAAACCATATGATCTCAGTAGATGCAGAAAAAGTATTTGACACTAATTAAAATTTATTCAGGATAAAAACTCTCAGTTAACTTGGAAAAAGAAGGAAATTTTTGCCCTGATAAAGAATGTCTACCAAAAAGCCTATACTGGTGCCACACTTAGTAGTGAGAGATTAAATGATTTCATAGTGTGGTCAGGGACATGGTCGAGGGAGCTGTCAGTATCACCACTTCTATTCAGTGTCATACTGGGATTCCTGGCCAGTACAGTAAAGCAAGAGAAGGAAATAAAAAGCATACAGATTGGAAAGGAAAAATAAAGCTCTGTATGCTGAGATCACATAGTTTTCCATGTAGAACATCCTAAGGGATTTACAGACAGATGTCCAAAATGATTAAGTGAGTTTAGCAGAGTTACAGAATAGAAAGTCAAGACTCAAAAGTCAATTATGTTTTTATATATTAGAAATGAAATACTAGGGTTTAAAAAATATTTATTTGAAAAACTAGTTTTATAAACTGGAAACGAAATTCAAAAATTTATTTATGCATACAAGAGCTGGAGTGTAGGCCAGAGTTGTGGTGGGTTAGAGTATTTATCAGAGATAGAGCAGGGAGAACAGGCAGATTGTTTGGAATACACTGCTGAAGGGAACAGTGGGGAGACAGGAGAGGTCTGCTGCGCCATGTGGGTCACTCCCTGGCTGGGGATCAACCCACGCACTGCGGAAAGCTTCATAGTGCTTCACTTTAACCCTTGCGCCACCAGGGAGGCTCTGGAAATGAACAATTTTAAAAAGCCTCTGTTTACAAAAGCACCAAAAACACAAGAAATACTTAAGTGTAAATCTAATAAATATATGGGTGTTCTGTTTGTTGAAACTGCAATACATGATAAATATTAAAGCAGATCCAGGTGGGCCCTCCCTAGTGGTGTAAGGGGTTAAAGCGCAATACTATGAAGCTTTCCACAGCTACTGTGGCAGGAATTCGATCCCTGGCCCTCGAGGTGACCCACATGGCGCAGCAGACCTCTCCTCTCCCGCCTGCTGCTCCCCTCAGCAGTGTACTTCATCAATCTGCCTGCTCTGCTCCCCACTCTTGTCTCTGGTGAATCCTCTTACCCCCATACCTCTGGCTCTACCCCAGTTCTGTATGTACAGATAAATATAATCTTAAAAAAGAAAAAGCAGATCTAAGTAAGTGAAGGGAGATGCGGTATTTGTGGGTGGGAAGACTCAGCACAGTAAAAATGTTAAATCTTGGAGCCTCTGTCGTGGCCTATGTGCTAAGTCTAAGTTCTACCACCCTACCTGAGTTCAATCCCCAGCCAGGGAGCTGACCCACATGGCGCAGCAGACCTCTGCTGTCTCTCTGCTGCTCCCCTCAGCAGTGTACTTCAGTACGTCTGCCTGTTCTGCTCCTCACTCTGTCTTGGTGAATCCTTTCACTCCCCACAGCTCTGGCCTGTATTTTGTGTATTTATTCTACACAAAATAAATAAGCAATTTTTAAAAAATGTTAATTCTGTCTCTTTTTGAATACTATTAATCAAAATCTCCACAGAATCTTTTTTGTATATGTTGACAAGTTTTTTATTAAATTTAAATGGGAAGACAGAGAAACTAGAGTAGTCAAAACAATTGTCTAAAAAAGAATAAAATTGAAATAATTCCTTTCACCTCATTTCAAGATTCACCATAAAGCTACAGCACCAGGATAAGTGGTGTTGATGCAAGGTAGTCATACACTCGGTGGGTGCGTTAGAGCCCCAGAGATGGTGCCCCTTTGTGTTCAGCTGGCATTGGACCGGGGCATTTCCAGAGAAAGGGGCAGTTCTCAGGAACATCCGTCCCATGTTCCAGGGCTTATTAGGCTTCTTTGTTTCTCTGTGTGCCTTCGGCCCTTGGCTACCCGAGGACGTCTTTTTACATAGTGCTTTATGCTTAATTCTCAGGCTGTAGTCTTTGCCAAGGATGTTCCCATGTGGCAACACTGCTTTCCTGAAAGGGCTGAGCCAACGCCACTGCCGGCCGCCAGTGCTGCACCAGCCTCTTGGCACCTTGCTGCCATTGGAGGCCACGCCTTGCCGCTAAGGTGGTGCGAATGGGACTGCAGATTACTTCAGTTGCTAATGGGGATGCGCTGTTTCATTTTTTAATTTTTTTTAAAGATTGATTTATTTATGCATACAGAACCGGAGTACAGATCAGAGGTGCAGGGGCGGTGAGGGGATTCACCAGAGACAGAGTGGGGAGCAGAACAGGCCGACTGACTGATGAAGAGGTCTGCCGTCACCTCCGGGGCGGGGGTCGAACTCATGCTGAGGTGGCTGTGTTTCACCCCGCTGCGCTACCAGGGAGGGCCTGAGATGTTTTATTTTTAAGGGTTCCTTTTCCCCTGTGTTGGTGGGAACACAGTTCATAATCCTTGCCCTTCTGCTTGTTTGGTTTCGATAGTTTTTCTTCTGTTCAAGTGAGTTGCTTCACGTTGTTTATCTTTGTAGGTGTTGACATTCATTTAAAGGATATGAAATTGAGTGTTAATTTGAAGAGTGAAATTACTAAGAATATTTTTGCTTTCCAGCTGGTTTAGGTGAATTCCGAATTCGTGACCTGAATGATGAAATCAACAAACTGCTGAGAGAGAAAGGACACTGGGAGGTCCGGATAAAGGAGCTGGGCGGTCCTGACTATGGAGTAAGTAAGCAGCAGCCCCGAGCGCTGGAGGGTGAGCTAGCGAGCTTTTGGCAGACTAGGTACATCCAGTCTAGCCTGTATTCCCTGTAGCTCTCAGCCCATGCCTTCCACACAGTAGGCATTCAAGAAGTGCAACAAAGCTGGGAAAATGCTTGTTGCATGTGGACAGATGCCCATGAAAAGGATGGCTGAGCTAACGCTTAAAGGCTCCCCAGCGTGGGCATCAGGGTAGAGAGGTCACCTCTTGCCCGGCCAGATGTTCTGAATAAGCCCATGCTTAAAATGAATTCAACCCTTCTCATCCTTTTTAGAACTCCTGAGAATTGGGTCAGATATTGTTGACTTTCTATCTCATGGGACACTCTGTTTTCTCCTGCCTTATAAATGCCATGCTCTAGAACTGTAGCTTTTCATAAACATTTTCCTAAGTCAGTGTGGCATGCTTCATTTTATACCCTCACTGACTATGGTATAATTTATGTAATGCATTTTCTGGTTAGGTATTTAGGATGACTTTTTGTAAACAATTTTTTAAAGACTTATTTATTTATACATATAGAACTGGGGTACAGGCCAGAGGTGCTGGGGATGGGGGACAGAAAGGCAAGTATACTGAAACACACTGCTGAGGGGAGCAGTGGGAAGGCCAGGAGAGGTCTGCTGTGCCAAGTAGGTCAGCTTCCGCTGGGGATCAAACTCGTGCTGCAGTGGCTGTGGTAGCTTCATAGTGCTGTGCTTTAACCCATTGCATCATCAGAGCGGGCCTTTAGGATGAGTTTTAAGGGATTTTTTTAAAAACTACCTAGATATTTTTCTGTGTACATATTTCTGCATTTAACATTATTATCTTAAAATATGTTTGTGAGGGGCCCTCCCTCGTGGCGCAGCGGTTACAGCACAGCACTGGAAAGCTTAAGCCACTTCCGCATGAGTTCGATTCCCACCTGCCCCAGAGGAGATCCACAAGGTGCGGCAGACCTTTCCTGACCCGCCCTCTGCTCCCCTCAGCAGTGTACTTTGTCGATCTGTCTGTTCTGCTCCCTGCTCTGTCTCTGGTGAATGCTCTCACCCTCTGCATCTCTGGCCTGTACCCCAGTTCTATATGAATAAATAAATAAATCTTTAAAAAAAAAAAGTTTGTGAACATGGAAACAGTGGGTTGAAGGACTGGATTCATTTTGTCTTTTTCCTTCCCAATAAGAAAGTTGGCCCTAAAATGCTGGATCATGAAGGGAAAGAGGTCCCAGGAAATCGAGGTTACAAGTATTTTGGAGCTGCAAAAGATTTGCCTGGTGTTCGAGAGCTGTTTGAAAAAGAACGTAAGTAATCGCTGTCTTTACCTCCGATTGTGGGTAGTCATCAGCAGTAGGTGTCACGGTGGGTGCTTTTCCTCTGATTTCTTAGCTGCACAAGAAGCCTGTGGTGGCAGCATGACTGTCCCCAGCTTTTGAAATGACAGGCCCAGTACACATAATTGGGGTTGGAAAATGAACCCAGAATTAACTGGTGCCGGATTCCACACCTGCACTCGGCAGCCTCTGTCTCAAGTTCCTCTTTGCCGCGCCCTAGATTGTCAGGGTAGACCCTGAATTCACAGGGCCAGGTTCATGTTTCAGTTACTTACTTGGTGGAAAACAGTTTAACTGAAGAATAAATAAAACCTTGGAACTAACCCTAAAAGGTAAAAAGTCTAAATGCTTCATGGAAGAGTGTGAGTAGAGAGAAGAATGACCTTCTGTTCTGTTTCCTTCCAGTCGTTTTTATTTCTCTAGCAGTGTGATTCTACCTTTATCAAGCTCTTCTTACTTTTAAGTTTATTATGTCAAAACTGGTTTTGTGTGTCATTAACTGCTCAAAAATAACTTAAATGTTAGACCTTTCATTATTTATTTACAGAGAAGTTGTAAAAGGCAGAAAATCAGAAAAAAAGCACCCACATTTTCCTAACTTCTAGATGATGATTGTTGACATGTTGAGGTGCATACCCATCCAATTTTAAAGGTTTGGGGAGGAAGGGTACTCCTGAATTGAGGTTATGCTGTATATGTTACTTTATGGGGTATGTTTTGCGTTCATGTTTTTTTTCCTATATTTTTAAAATTCCCGTTGTAAATTTTTTTCACTAACAAGAAAGTTCCTAAGTCAGTTTCATGAGTATAATTAAAATAGCATTTACCTTGTTTATTTTTTTGTATCTTATCTGTATCTGTATGTTTTCCCAGCATATTTTTTCACTAACTAAGCTTTGTGGCATTTCCTGTGTTGTCCAGGCACCTTATGAAATGGCACAGCAGGGCGCAGGGTAACCCAGCCACACCCACCCTACAGTTCCTAGCCCTCGGATGGTCCACATTTCACTGCTGTGTCTCTGATGCTGCGGTGCCCATCTCTGTCCTTCAGAGCTCTGCCAGCTGTTATTTTTGTTTTTCAGTTGAAGGTAGATTCCTTGTAAATGGACTAATTGGATCAAAAATTGCCATCCTGGTTTTTAAAGGGGGTTGGGGACACTTCCACTGGCACCCCTAGGAGTGCTGTGGGCTGAGCTTCAGACCACTGCAATACGGTGAGCATCAAAATAAAGCGAGTCTCGAGTCTCATGAGCTCTTTTGTTTCCAGTGCATGTAAAGCCTCTGTTTACACTGTACTGTGCTCTGTTAAGTGCGTAATAGCACGCTAAGGAAACAATGCACAATCCTTAATTTAAAAACACTTCATTGCTAAAAAATGCTAACCGTCATCTGAGTTTTTAGCAAGTTGCAGTCCTGTGCTGGGGGATCTGTAAACACAGTCACTGAAGTACAGTAAAGCAATACAGCGAAACAAGGTGTGCCTCTGAGTGCAAGGGCAGAGCCTGTCTCCTGCTGTCCCCCAGTGCGCGTTCTCTCTGTCTGTGCATCAGTGTGCAAGGAGACTTGAGTGTGACGGAAATTCAGCTGAGGTGGTGCTCTTTCTTTTAGCTCTTCCTCCTCCAAGAAAGACACGCGCTGAGCTCATGAAAGCAATTGATTTTGAATACTACGGTTACCTGGATGAAGATGATGGTGTCATCGTGCCTTTGGAACAGGAATATGAGAAGAAATGTAGGTCTATGGCAGTTTATTTCGTATTTCTTTTTATTTTATTCTGATGACATCTGGTTTCCGGTCTTCTTTGAAAACAGATTTTTAGACAGTGCTTTATGCCAAACGGGAGTTTCCTTTATTGCTAATGGTCTTCACAGGAAATGGTTTGCTAATGACCTAAGTGACCCCCCCCTCCCATACTTAGGTAACCCCCAACTCCTTGAGCACTCAGGGCTGTGTGGCGCAGGAGCAGCAGGTTGGGGGCGCCAGCAGGCAGCACCTGACTTCCTGTGAGCAGCTCACCGTCCCCATCCGCCGGGAGTCCACCACCTAGATTAGTCCCAGACTGGCCTTCCTTGAAAGGCCAGTAAAACACTAAAACAGTGCCCACTCTGTAGTTTTGGGGTGCGCTTTAAGCACAGCCCACAGGTGGTAGCATGGAGAACGGTGGGCACTGCTTTGTGAGCGCCGCTCCCTGCCAGACACCGTGGTGGTCTTTCGTGGGATTCACACAGTAAGCTGGTGCTACTAATCCCGTGGGCACGAACTAGGCAGCAGGTCATGGTCAGAGCTCTTTGCTCGCCATCATCTCCGTTGTCATGTGGGCATGTCGGGAAACCACTCAGCTTGGTGATGGGCAGGGTTGGATCTGGGAATGCCCCTAAAAAGCTGCCTTGTAGCTACTTGAAGCCAGAGCTACTTTTTTTTTTCTTTAAAGAATTATTCCTTTATTGTGAGGTTTTTATTTTTGTGTTGAAGAGCTGGGGAACAGGCCAGAGATGTGGGGGAGGGAGATAAGAGGATTCACCAGCAGCAGAGCGGGGAGCAGCACAGGCAGGTCTACTGGAATACACTGCTGAGGGGAGCAGCGGGCGGGTCAGGAGAGGTCTGCTGTACCGTGTGGGTCATCTCCGTGGCTGGGGATTGAGCTTAGGCCACTTTGCCAAGGGAGGGCTATCAGAGTGCTGAGATTTAACCCCTAGGCCACCAGGGAGGCCCCACAAAACCAGAGCTGCTACAAAACCACACAGCCGCTGACGTGCCCAATTCTCATCCACAGGAAAGGATGAGGGGTGTCTATTCCAGAGGGGACATCTTGGCTTTTCGTCCTTGTATTTAGGCTTGTTTGGAAACCAGAATTAATAGTACCTGCTTGCCTTTGTTTTCAGTCAGAGCTGACTTAGCAGAAAAGTGGAAAGCAGACAGAGAGGCCCGGCTGGCGAGAGGCGAAAAGGAAGAGGAAGAAGAGGAGGAGGAAGAGATCAACATTTATGCTGTCACGGAGGAGGAGGTACTGTGTGGGCAGCAGGGTCCCCGGGCGCACTGTCCTGGGCTCCATGCTGTGAAGCCTGGGCCTCAGGAGAATCCTGGGGAGTGGCAGCAGGGAACTAGGCTCTTGAGACAAGGGTCAGAGTCAAAGCCCAGCTTGGCCCCTCCCTCCAGCCTTAGCCTCAGCCTCCTTGCCCAGGGTCACAGGGAGGCTTCCTTAAAGGAGATCACTTTGTAAACTAACCTTTATACCAGGGTTTACTTGCTTTTAAAGATGGGCATCCTGAATATTCTAGAATTGGATTTGTAAATACGTTGGCAGGCATCTGCATTTTAGCACATAACCTTGTTTCTTTTTAAGTAACAATGCCAGTAGCATCTCAATGCGCTGGTTCTGAGGATAGAAACCAGCCCATGGCAGAGATGGGACTTACCACGTCACTGGGGAGGCATGTGTTTAACTTCAGGGATGCGGTCAGTTTTGCAACGAAACTAGGCCACTTTGACCACTCCCACCAGCAGGGTCTGCAGCAAAGTTCCACTTATTTTTATCTGGGGCTGTGCAGTTCCAGTGGGGAGCTGGTGTGGGGAGAGGATGGTGCCCGCACCTGGCATAGAAAGTGCACACAGCAGCCTCCCCCCACCGCCCGGGGCCTCGCTGCTGTGTCCAGGGCCCATTCTCCCTAGTTTATAGTTCATTGACTCATGTGCCTCTGAAGTAATCTGCTTTCAATAAATCACACACTTTTTATACTTAGTTTTTATAAAATAGTTGATGTATTTACCAAACTGAAAAACCAAAAAGTTCATAATGAACAAATACTCTTTCTGGGTGCTCCCTCGATCCCTAGTCGCACTGCTGCTGGGATCTGAGTCTGCGGCGCTCCGTCGCTGCCTCACTTGGTCCTCAGGGTCTTGGGCATCTTTCTGTTTGGACACAGTGCGCCCTCTCGCCTCCTTCCCTGTAAACAGCTGCCAAGTATGCATTTCTGGTGCCGCCATAGTGTCCTGTGCATGGAATTTTGGTTATTTGCAGTCTGACGAGGAAGGCAGCCAGGAGAAGGGCGGGGAAGACGGGCAGCAGAAGTTCATCGCTCACGTCCCAGTGCCGTCACAGCAAGAGGTATGAGAGAGGCCTCTGGATGCTGGGCGGGCGGGTGGAGCTTCCATGAGCCCAGCACCTCACCTGTCAGGAAGGCCACAGGTGCTTAGTGGGGGTTCTCGACCTTCCTGCCCCCCAGGGGCTGTTCCTCCACCTGGCTCCTGTCATGCTCACAGTAGGAGTGTGGGGGCCCAGAGAAGACATGATCTCATGTGCCTTAGAGGAGACGGATGGACACAGTCTGCTGTCCACACTTCCGGTGGGAGCAGTTGGGCCTCTTGGAGGCTGCTCTGGGTATCGGGCCCCTGGTAGCCTGCCACACAGGGATTCTTCTGGCTGGCGTGGCAGGCCTTGGAGGACTTTGCTGAGGAGGGAAGCCTGAGCCCTTTGCTCTTGCTTTCCACAGATTGAGGAGGAGCTTGTGCGAAGGAAGAAGATGGAACTCCTCCGGAAGTACGCAAGTGCCACGCTGCAGGCTCAGAGTGAGGAGGCCAAGAAGCTCCTGGGATACTAGGCCTGAGCTGGGGCCCTCCTGGGCCTGGCGTTCTGCTGGGAGTTCTTTCCCGCACTGCCCTGTAGCTCGCTCAGGGGGCTCTGTTCTCTTGGAGGGCAGGCAGGGAGCGGCTTCCCACTGCTGCTCACATTCATTCTTGTCTTGCCTTTTCAAACCTCATCTACTGATTCGAAGGTCGGGCCTGCCGCTGACTCCCTGGCAGGCTCTCGGGGGCCGAACGCTTCGACCATTGCTTTTGTACAAATATTTTGCTACCATTTAAGGCCACTTATTTTTATCTGGGGCTGTGTGAACTGGCTGCCTATATGTGCTTTATTATCCTTATATGTTTTGGTGGGAAGGGGATCAACTGGAGACCAACACTTTAAAAATGCAGTTTTTTAAAGACTTGTGTGTAACTCCTCTGGAAATTGAGAAGCCACGGCAGCCTGAGTCCAAGCCCACATGCAGTAGGCGCCATGACGCCCTGGGAGCTGGTCTGCTCGCAGCTCTGCAAGGCCCTGCTCGGCCCGCCTCCGAGCCCAGGTGCAGGAACTTGAGTCTGCTCCTCCTGTCTCTGGCTCTACGGAGAGCTCTTTTTATTAAAGATTTTTATATGAAAGGGGAGCCTTGGTGCCTGCACTTGTTCCTGGGCCACCTGTCCTGAGGTGTTGCTTGTTAGGATGCGAGGTTCACGGCCCCTGCTGGGGAGAGGCCCTGGTGCAAGAGGGGTGGGCCCAGCTGAAGGGCGGAGGGCAGAGCCGGCCCACCCGCACCCCACACCTGCACCCACTGCAGCTCAGGCACAAGGCTGGGCTGGGGACCCAGGACTCAGGTGAGCTGACTCAGCCTCTGGGCTGCTCTTTCCAATCCAGCAGAGGCTGCAGCCCCCCACTCTCCACCCTGGGAGTGTGGGGTCAGCACTAGCATCTGGGATCAGTCCAGGGTGGGAATGGCGATGGCTGTCTTTAGTCCCCGGGGCCCTAGCTCAAGCTGTTTGTGAAGAAGCGCTTTGTCGGGGGAAGCCCATCACCCAACAGGAGTTTGGTGTCCTAGGTGGGTCTGGGTGGTCTTTCCAGCAGACAGAAACGGCAGAGTGGGCTGGGGTGGTGTCGGGAGCGTGGCCGGGCCTGCCTGGGCCTTGTGGCCTCTCGAAGGAGACTGAGGGCAGCATGGACAGTGCAGAGGTCTGAGAAGGGGTGACTCAGCGTGAGCTTTGGAAACTCCCTGCAGCCAGCGTGGACTCTGGAGGCAGGAGCCAAGTCAGGGGAGGCCAGGCAGAGGCTGGGAGGGACCAGAAGCACCTGGGCATGGTGACAGAAGAGGGCTTTAGGACAGTGAGGGTGAGGAGGGGGGAGGAGACACTGGCTTCCCTGAAGAAAGACTGGAGGGTCTCTGATTCAGCTGAGCCCCGACATGAATGTGCAGGGAGCAGGGAAGGTTCAAGGTTGGGGGTTTGGGAGCCCCAGGCACGTGCAGGGTCAGCCTCAGCTTGAACCCAGCACCCAGTGTGTGTGTGTGCAGGGTGAGGGGCAGGTTCTGAGGGGCTTGGTTATGGGTTTTTCTTCTGAGGACATGGGCTGAGGGCAGCCTTGCGTATGAATGAAAGCAGACATTCTTCCTGAAAGGGAGCTGGCGGTGCCTGGAGTTGGTTCATCTGAAATATCCAGGCTTCCCCACGAAGTTGAACTTGGCGGACCCTAAGGGCCGGAGATAGAAGCAGGAGCCACCCCCACCCCCTTTAATCTTAAACTGACACCCACATTCAGGCAGGAATGCAGAACTCATGTCCCACTTCTTTTAAAGAGCCGTTTTTATGTATTTTTGTATTTGTGAACTGAAGTAGGGGGCAGGGGGCACTGAGAGGGTTCTCCAGAAACAGAGTGGGAGCAGAGCAGGCAGATGGACTGAAATACGGGGAGACAGGAGAGGTCTGCTGGGCCGTGTGGGTCAGCACGTGGCTGATCCTGTGGCAGGGGATCGAACTTATGCTGCAGTGATTGCTGATACCTTCATAGTGCTGAGACTTAACTCCTGCACCACCAGGAAGGACAGTAGTGGCCCGTATTTGAAGAAACCCAGGCTGGGACTTCTTCAGGTGACCCTGGCAGAGCTGGGACCACCCCCAGGCTGGTACTTGCAGGGATGGTCCCCGCTGACTTAGCACCAGCAGAATTGGCTTGACTGCTGTGGCCTCTGGGAGAGGCCACCTTTGCCCAATTCATTGCTCAGAGATGACAGAACCCAGTCTTGGGAACCTTCGATTGGCCGACAAACGTATTTCATGGTTTCTATTTTATATCATCTTTGGTTCTGCACACCCTTTCCAGACACTGTCAGTTTCCTGCAGACACCTTTCCAGAGTTGTTCCCCCCCCTTCCCTTACGCACTGTTCTTGGCGAGTCTACAACGCCTGTCTTCCTGTCCTGCTTAAAGGTTTGTCACAGCAGCAGCCTCAGATGCTCTCCTCCCCTCCCACCCCCAGCCTCTGCCTCATCTCCTGCTCTTGGGCAATTCATAAACAGGAAAGAAATTTAAGATCTTCTCCTCTTGCCCTGATGCCCTGAGGACTCGGGCTGGTTTTGTTGCCTCACTGGGGCACCCCCACTCCCTGGGTCCTCTCATTGCTTCTCCCAGAACCCCAATAGGGGATGGGGTAGGACGTTCTCACTCTAAGCACACCAGGGGTAGTGGGAACCTGCCCTAGGAGAGAGCCCCTGCTTGGCCAGTATCCTCCAGTGCAGGCCACTGGACACTGATAGCTCTTGGCCCTTCATGCATTGCCACATCTGCTTCCCTCCTGCTTCACCCTGTTCCCCCTAAATGTAGAGGGAAGTTCTGTGCAGTTAACCAAGCATAGAGTTCCTTGCAGGGTCTCGAGCTCCTGTGACCTAAGTCACCACTTTGAGGGGTGGAGTAGGGGGACTGAGAGCCAGGTGACCTCTTTCCCCCACAGACCTAAGCAAAACTGGTACCATACCCGGAAGGCGCAGAAGGCAGAGTTCATTTGCCTGTTTGGGACATTCTGGGCTTCTAGGTGGGGAGAGTGGCAGGGCCGTCGTTTCTCTGACCCGCAGGTGAACTGAGGGCTGTCGCAGAACATCCGAGTTTGCAGCTGCACGGACATATTTTCCTTTCTTGCTGATGACAGTCTTTCAGCAAGTGCCCTTCTATAGTAAACATAGGGGGGTATGGTTGGTGTCTGGTTTTTGTAGCATTTTTTTCCACCTCTCTTTTGGATGGGGGTGCATTTGCCGTACCAGCCAGACCACCTCCAAATCCAGAACACTAGTCTATACGGTATGGTTAGAGGCTGTAGATTTTAATGGTGACTGTGGGAAGAAAGGAAGGTGGAAAAGAAGAGGCTTGTCCCTCTACCCACTTGGAGTTCTGATTCCTGAAATACCCGGTTTTAGCCCTGCTTCTCTCTCAGCTCCGGTGGCGCCACCGTGTGGTAATAGTACAAACACTCAGTCCGCCGGCCTCTAGCTTTGAACGTTAAATTCCTGACACATTTAAAAACATTTGGGGTGCTTTATTTTAAAATCTGAGGTATCAAGACAGACAAATATTTTTTAATTGGTCCACTTCCAACAAGCATATATTCAATTTCAGATAAAATGCCACTGCACGATTCAGGAACTTAACCACCAGAGAAAAGAAATGCAGGTGATTTGTAAAAACAGCTTCGAGGTATATTAATTTGTATGCCATAAAATTCATCCATTGTAAGTGTACAATTTAAGGACTTTAATAAATTTCCCAAGTTGCACAACCCTCACTACAGTCCATCACCCTAGGTATGCAGTGTGACTGGACTTGCTGGCAAAACCCATGCACTGAGAGGCGCACCCCCACCCCAAACCTATTCCAGGCAAGGCCATTGTAAAGGCCGGCTCAGCTGTCCAATCTGGTCCGTCCCACTGGGCAGCCACCAGCACCTCCCTGCCTCCAGGTGCTTAGGGCTTGGGCTCTTGGTCTCACTCTTCTACCCCCTTCACCTAGAACAGCCTTGAGCTTCTGGCAGACACGTTTCCTGGGGTTTGGGCTGGCATATGTCCCACCTTCCCAGTCAGCCTCAGTAGTCCGAGGCCTTTCATCCTATCCTGTAGCCCTGCCTTGAAATGGAGGCTGTTTTCTGCCTGTGGATGTAGCAAAGCTGGGCTCTGGGGAGCCCATGGTACTTTGGGGTTTCCTGTCTGGTGGTGTGGTTATTTCCCATGGAGTAAGGTTTAAATTGTTACAAAATAAACAATTCGTGCACCTCTCCCTGGGTCTGCCTTTGCCTCCTTGCCCATCTACTTTCCACTTGACCGGTAAAGCTGCTCAGGGACCTCACGGAGACTGAGGTCCTCAGTACCTCAGGAGTCCTGGTCCTGGTGGATCGTGCCTTTTCTACCGTGTAAGTTGTGGATTTTTGTCGTTCTTGCACTGACCTAGTCCTAAGAATAGCACTCGGCCCGTAGTGGACGTTAGCCGGGAGTGGGGTGCTGCAGCCCCCTGGCAAGGCTGGTGTCTAGGGAGAGCAAGAGTGTTCTCGGTGCCCTCCGATCTCAGCAGCTGGAAAGCCCTTTGGGAGATGGGCCCCATTAAGTCTCTTTAAGCTTCTCAGACACTTGGGTCTCATTTCTCTGGGGACCCCTACTTCATCGCACCATCTCCCGCGTGGGTCTCCCCTGCCACAGAACTCCCCATGAACCTCCCTTGTGCCTCTGCTCAGGCCCAACCTTGGGGCTTGTCAGCTGGTCAGCTTCCCCACCTAAATCCAGAACCCCCAGAGAGTGGACCCACGCAGAGGCCTCTGGGCAGCTTCTTCCACCACTTTCAGGCTGCCTTTTGGGCCTGGGAATCCCAGTTCCTCCTACAGGCTTAGCGGCTCATCAAACGGGGTCACAGCTGAGAAGAGGCCTAAACTGATCAAAGGGTGTCAGGTGGGCAGTGGTGTGTGTGCTGCGCAGACCGCGGCACCCAGGCGGTGGGGACGTGGCGCGAGCTCCGGGCGGCTCAGGGGCGGAGCCGAGGGCGAGTGCTGTTGATGCGCCGAGGGCATCGCCGAGGGCGCCGTTGGACGAGGGGTGGAGTCGAGAGCGGCTTGGGGGCGTGTCCGAGGGCGGAGCCTGACGGGGGCGCGGCCGAGAACCGCGCTGAGGCGGAATCAGATCCTGGGCGTGCTGGGGGCGGAGTCCGCCTGGGGGCGGAGTCCGCCTGGGGGTGGTGCCCGTCTGGGGGCGGAGTCCGCCTGGGGGCGGTGCCCGTTCGGGGGTGGAGTCCTCCTGGGGGCGGTGCCCGTCCGGGGGCGGTGCTGAGGGCGGGCCTGAGGGCTGGATCTGCCTGGCCGCGAGCTGAGGGCCGGCGGCGAGCGTGCGAAGGGCCAGACCAGGAGAGTCGGGGGCGGAGCCGCGGCCCGCGGGTCTCCGGGCTGGCCGGGG